AATGCACTCAAGTGGCTTTGGCTGTTGCATAAGCAGTAAATCACCTCATTAGTGAGAAAGTTAATTGGACACAGGTCATGAGACGAATCATCTAGTTAAATGTCAAGCATGTTGAAAATTTTGGGAAAAAGCACAGAAAGGAATATGGTCTGATTATTAAGGTATCCATATATTTGTGCCATTCGGTGGACTACACTACACTACAGCCCATAATTTTTAACCTGGCAAGACATTACAGCTGGAGACAGTTCATCAATGACAGGCCACGATCAGGGAGAACACGAGGCATGGCACCTTTTCAAGATCAATAGGGAGGTCTATGTGTGATGGTCTGGCCTGGAGTGTCTAGTCACTATATACTGTAACATCATTTATAGTGATTGATAGGGGTTTGATTGCATTGTATTACACTGATCAAATCCTGGGACCACACTTGCTGCAATTCCTACGGGCTCATCCTAACATTACCACATCTCACAAGGGCATGTTCTCAAGCTGCTTGTATAACAGTGGCTTTCTTTTGAGAACAGAATGTGATACTTTGTACCATGAAGGCCTTACTTTACTTGAGCCTGACTGATCCTGTCTGGGATGAAGAGTGATGCTGTGTGGCATCATTTAAACTTTTTAAAAAAATCTCCCTTGAAATTATACTGATCAGCAGCTACAGAACACAGCTCTCAAGACCAAAACTTACGCCATAGTTTAAAATCCACACATGACACTGCAGGGGGTAAGGTGCTGTAGCAGATATTTTAATAGGTAGGACTTCGTACCAAAGGTGCCTCCACCACATCTTGACTCAGGGGATTGAATAATGCAATCAACATATGAAGTTTTTTTTTACTTTTCTTTGCAGGTTTTGCTAACTTTTACCTTCTTTCACTCATTAAACTATTAACTTTGAGAGTTCACGTTTTTAATGTAAAATATTTACATACACGATATACAAATATACAAATACACTAATTGTATTTTTAAAAAATGGGCCATTATGTACTATGTACCACATTATGTGGCACAATTGTCAGCATTGCTGTCACACAGCACTTGGGCCATGTGCTCAATTCTGGACTTGGGGTGCTATCTGCATGAAGTTTGTACAGTATGTTCTCCATGTGTTCACTTGGGTTTCAACTGGGTGCTCTGGTTTCCTCTCACCGTCCAACAACATACCGGTAGCTTAAATGGCTTCTGATAAAATTGGCCCTTGTGTGAGTGTTTGCATTGTTGTGTCTGTGTGCCCCGCGATGGACTGGCATCCTGTCTGGTGTGTATACTGTCTTGCGCCTACTGCTTACTGGGATAGACTCCAGCTTCCTGAATTGGACGAAGTGATTAGAAAACGGACAGATTGGACATTATTTGAAGGTACATCAAAACAGGAAAAGCTGGTTCTTTAAAGCAGAGCTTCACAATCTGAGGTGAAAGATGAAGTACTGTATACTTAATTTTGTTCTGCACATTATTAAATGACAGGGATTAAAATATTATGTAATTGTAATAATTAAGTGTGCTGATTTTAGTGAAACAGACAATGTATTGTAATTATAAAAATTTGTAGAAGAAAATAATTAAGAGAATAAAGCTCGGCGTTAAGCAGCAAACGACAAGAAGAAGTTAATTCCACATGGAAAAGGAAGGTGTTGTGTGTTTATAACTTAAAAATGAGTACTTTGTTCCAGTGTGGTGCAAGTCATAATGGAAAGCAAAGTAAAATGACATGATCAGTATCTATGTAAATCTATCAATTTTTAAAAGACAACATCTTATTTTTAGAGTATTTGATTTCCAGCTAATATTACTGGCCTGGGATGTACAATGACATTGAGAAATGGCAAGTATATTTTCTAGTAATATATTAATAAAAGTGTAATCTTAAGCAGATGTTTCTATGTTCATAATAATTCATAATTATAATAATAATAATTATTATTATACATTTATAACTATTACAAATTAATAATTGTGATAAATTAATAATTATTATGCATAATAATTATTCATAGTTTTCAATGTTGTGGATTCTCTGCAAAAATCCTATAAACTCATGGGCTGGCAAAGCCTGTAACAGTTTCAGCATTATTCTATTCATTTAATTGATGTCATCCAAAGCAATTTACAGAATTTTTCAAAATGTATTTCACAAAGTCCCATTTACAAAACAATTCCACTTAGCAGAGCTCAGTGAGTTTGTAAGTGTCATCACAGGCGCAACACTGTCTCAATACAACAAAGACTGGTGCAATTTCCATGCATGTGTTTTTCAGAAGGTATAAAACGTTACCGGTTCCTTTGCAGCCTACGCATCCTGATGCAGCTCCCTACTCAAACTTCTTAGTATCCTTATATTTTTTAGCATTGTTGAGAACATTGTTTTGGGCAAAGAATGAAGAATGAGGTGGAGTTATCAGTTCCAAAGATTGGCTCTGTGTAGAACCCATAAAAAGCAGCTTAACAGGTAGCAAAATGCAGATGAGGAATCCACAGATTGGAAACCATTTCACTAGGGTATCAGGTCAGGTGAGCTGGGGCAGTGGATGGAGAAGATTGGGCAGGGATAGAGGGAAGAGATTGGAGTTAGGGCTGATGCAGCACCACCTTGGTCTCCAGCAGGGAAAGCAGGAAAGGGAGATGTCAACAGATGTTGTCAAACTTTGACAATCTTTGTCATATAGGACATTTATGAGTTTACTGTTTTGCATTTACCAACACTTTTCAAACCAAGTAATCTCTCCAACGTCTGTATCTTGAAGTAAGGAAAATAAATGTATTTATTTAAAACAATATATTTTTGCTAGATTGCTAACAATATCAGGTCAGTTTGGTATACACACATCCCTAAGAAACTCTATCAAAACATAAACTAACAAAAACTGCCATCCGGACAAGATGGCAAGCTTGTTTGCACACTTCATGTTCTTCATTGTCTAACAGAGTAAGATATTTCGTATGAGAAGTACCGCAGAACTTGCTGACCACTGCATACAGATAGGGGGAGTGCAGGTGAAAGACCTTTAGATTATAGTCTAAACCCCTTAAGATTATATTCTTCTTAAATTGTTTGAACCTATAAACCTATTACTTGTTCCAATGAAGAATGTATGCAATACTGTGTAGCCACTATTTACAAGTGAAATTCAGAAAAAAATAATCTTTGCCTTCAGTGAAAGTGACAGCTGAAAGAAACTGTGACATAGATTAAAAGGTTTAAGCCGAAATGAAGCACTGCAGGTAAAACTAGGCTTACAGCATTAACCTGCTGTCAGTGATTAACCTAAAATAAGTGAGGTGGAAGTTGTAAAAATGTTTCTGCTTATTTTTTTTATAACCAAAGTAGTAGTTACTATGAAATGCTGTCTACTGAAAGTGAGAGAGTAACACTAAGGAAAATGGAAACTAATGCTGAATTACATTAAACTGTACCTAAATTGTAAAGGATTATGTTATGACAGGGACCTGCACTAAAGGATTACAAGTCTGAAAGTAGAGATGCAAATAAAAAAAAGTGCTAAAACACGGCAACAAAGCAACAAAAAGGGGAAATACAATGACTTCCAAAACACAATCCAGATTTTTAGGTTTTGCTTGACATGTAGAATACTTACTGAATCAATTAATGTCACACAGGGGTCTTACAATACTATATTGTTACTAAACATACTACAGTATTTTAAACAGGGCTAGAAATTCTGAATATTATACTTCCTATAGGTGCAGCCATCCAGAATGTGTGTCAAAATGTCCATCTGCAATACGATAACTGTCGTATACTGCTGTGTGTTTCGGCATGCTGAATGTAGCGTTCACTACCTTAAAAAGATGGATAGATGGCATTTGTGGTGCGTTAGATGCTAGTGAAACAGTAGCATTATTTAATATGTTTTAATACTTCTTTAAATCCACGTAATATTGGAATAATATGTGGAATATTAATGTGGACTAAGGTCACTAAATGGAAATTATGGTTTAAAAAAATAAAGATAACCAAGGTACAATAATGTTTTCAAACATTATTAATGATAACATGTTAACATACTGTTTATACAGTACGCTGTAGCTGGTAGTGGTAGCTGAAAATAATGAGTTCTTGCTTTGGTCAGTTTTGATGACCAAAGTATTCTATAAGGAAGTGCCCACCTCTATTAGATTTCAATCTTGGGATTCTGGTGGCTTTTTCATCCAGTTTATTCCCTCTGCTTTAATACTAGACATTCCTGCTGTGTGTTTTGGATCACTGTCCTAAACGACATAATGCTCCCTGGTTTTTTTACGTACACGGTACAGAAAAGCAGAACAGACATGTATAAAAACAGTCCAGTTTAAGAATCAGTTTAAAAAAGCCTCTGCAAATGAACTGTGCAACTCACCCACACCAAGCTTCTCCAAGATGTCCCTGAACTCTGGCCTCTCCTCCAGCACCTTGAGCAGGTTGGTGGACTCCATTCTCTCCAGCTCCACCCTCCAGTAGATGTAGATCTTGTGGTTGAAGCTCACATAGACCAGGCAGGGGCTGTTCCTTCCATCTTTACAGGTGTACTGACCTGCAGCAAGAAGGGCGATGCACGA